GACTTGTGTATGGACAACTACCCCAACGCGTCGTTGGGCAATGATAATTTGATGGAGAGACAGGCTATAATTGCCGGTCCCAATGACACACCTTAAACGTCCACTTCCTATGCAACGTGTATACATATACGAAATTGATATATAAAAATGTATATATAAGAAAAGAGATTGGGTCTGCCATCGAGTCCGAAAATTCTGGCCCGTCTTTCCATCAAACTATCATTTCCCAACGACGCGCTGGGTGTGCCAATAAAATACACAGGCGAGTGAGGGTCTAGAAATATAAGCGAACCACCTAGACATGTGATGGCAATACCCCAAAGCGTCGTTGGGCAACGACAACTTAACGGAGAGACAGGCTATGACTGACGGTCCAATGACACACCTTAAGCATTCACTCGGTATGTAACATATCTACATAAAATGTATTAATAGACTCATATGTATAAGAATAGATACAGGGTCTGCCATCAAGTCCGACAATTCTGGCCCGTATTTCCACCAAATTATCATTTACCAACGACGCGCTGGGTGTGCCAAAAAAAATACACAGGCGAGTGATGGTTTAGAAATATAAGCGACCCCACCCAAACGTTGGTGTGGCAATACCCCAACGCGTCGTTGGGCAATGACAATTTGATGGAGAAACAGGCTATAATTGCCGGTCCCAATAACACACCTCATACATTCACTCCTTATGTAACATACATAAATATAAGGTATTAATAGATTCATATAAAGGTGTTGATACATATATATATATTCATAAATAGGAATGAAGATAGAAACAGGGTCTACCAACGAGTCCGACAACTGTCGCCCGTCTTTCTATTTAAGTCATTCGACCACATACCTCGAGTATTTGCCAGCTGGATTTGCTTCGCCATGTGCATGCCCGTGCCCATGGCTATGATCATGTTCCTCATGCGAGTGCGCGTCCGTGTCTACTTCGCTCTCCTGGTCGTCGTGTGCGTGTGCGTGGCCTCCGCAACCACACCCTCCAGCAGGAGCTTCTACCTCCATATCATCGCTCTCGTCAGGTTCATCACTATGCGCGTGTGCGTGTACGCTATCCACCCCCTCATTCGCTTCACTGTGACGCCAAATTCGATTATGTATAAAGATGAGCGGAGAGATGTTAGATAATATTTGGCAAGGAATTGAGGTTGGGGCGGTTAGTGCCATTTAAAGTATACTGATGCTACTGCATACTAGGCTAAGAATAATCTACTGTATCCAAGAGTAACAGGATACATACATACTCTATAGAAAACAAACTGTTGGCATGCACATGTACAATGCTGTGGTATATGTAAAAATGCCACGCCCATACAGGTTTTTTATGTGGGTGAGAGAATAAAAAAAATACTAATCTACAAAAGAGAATATGAACTACCAAGAAACTGTAGAAGTAACATGAGAATATGAGATGCACACATACACACGCGTCCATACACACACACACGCACACATATATATATATATATATATATATATATATATATATATATATATATATATATATATATATATATGTGTGTGTGTGTGTGTGTGTGTGTGTGTGTGTGT